TTTTGAAAGTGAACAATTCCGTCGAATGGCCGTTCTTTCAAAATGAGTTAGCTCGCCCTCTCTGTCTACTTTGCTATCTGCGATAAGTCTTTGTTCTGAAATATGTCTAGCTGCGGCGAGTGTTAACACGGGAGGACAACAAATCACCGGAAGGAGAACAAATCACTTCACTACCCCTTCACTGTTCATTACTACAGTAGCCCCGACAGTAATGTCCACCTCACAGTGCACATGGGTACTCTTATGTTCCAAATGTTACGTTACGCCCGTATTTTTGCTTCCCTGGATTGGTTCATTTGGTGGCCTTTGGTGGCCTCCCTTCTCCCCCCCCTCCCCTCCGTCGCCCACTCGCATTAGCTTATTTTACATGAAAAATTAAAGTGGAATCTTCCCATTCCCTTCTATCCATTTGGCAAAGCTACATTCGCCAAACTGCAGCATCCCAGTAGCATCATTTACGTGGGATACCCAGCGTATCAGTGCTTGGGCGGTTCTGGTACTCTTGATAATATTCCTGGACGTAGTTTTACCTGGATGAATGATCCCATCGCTTCAGTGTCCAGCGCAATTCGAGCAACGACAGAATGTGAAATGTTATTAAACCAACAAATAAAATGGTACGAAAATTACCAGCCGCTGCTTGTTCATTACTGCCAATGAATCGAGTGTACAATGCATTACTGAAAATGATTTTCGGATATTTCTACTTTTTTATTTATATTCCTGAAGCATCACGCCAGCCTAGGAATTTAGGAACACCCCAGTAACAACACCAATTTGGGATTCGCACTAGCCGTCAAACTACAGTTCCCGGAGTGACTACGGTGGCTGGATTCCGAGCTAACTTTACAACTGTTTTCGCTGCCAAATCGACTACGACGGCTAGCATTCTGTTGACTATGACCGCTGACTCTTTTATGACTGGCTGCCGGATTGGCTGATATCTATTGCGGATCTGCATTCGTCCCCTTTCTGATCATCCCATTTGGCCAATTCCTGATCATAATCCACAATTTCTGATCACTCCTCTAATCCCAGCTCAAAGCCTTTCTGTTGATGAAATATCTCAGTCTGAATCACTGAAAATTTCCTTGACAAACAAGTTATCTCTGGGATATATGTAAAGATT